AAAATCTGTTAACTTTGCACATTTAGTTAAAAACTAAATGTGCAGAGTTAACAGATTTTATTAACCTGGAAATCCGTTAAGGCTTAATTAAAAAAATAACCTGATTGCTGGGGACAACCCACGCATCCACTAAACAGTGCTTTCTTGAAACATGTCCTGCTCCGGCATTTCTTGTTATTTCACCAACATCTTCAACATCTATGACATAAAACTCCATAAGTTGTTTTGGTTGACATAACGAATCAAATGGTTGACGCCAATATTGAGTTCTGCAAAACGGTACACCCTGAGAGACTGAGCGGAAATTTTTGAAAGATATACCAACAGAGAAAAATTTTTTAGTATCGGAAAAAAAATTCATCCAGTTTTTTAATTCGTAGTTTTAGTTAAACTCACGCGGAAACGTCTGCAGTCTGTAGGGTGGCAGGATCAATAAAAGTAATAACATTAGATATTCTGAGACATATTAAGAGCTGACTCATGTTACCGAGAGACTGAGCTACTTTTGCAGGTAAACAAACAATATCGCCGCGGCAGATAGGAACAATTTCGACACAAAACGTATGCTTGTAATCATAGATATTACTTTTCGTATCATGCGTCACTAACTCCTAAACAATAATGAGGTTCTTAATTTGAAAAAATAACACTGAATAAGTAATTTAAAAAAACCAGCTTTACCATTTGTCTTTTAAAAGTATCAGACTGATATATTTTAAAAATTATTTTAAAAGTCGAGGACACAACTTTTAAGAGTGAGAACAAATTCAGATATCATAAAAGAAAAGACAAAGTGCACATAATCCGTCTGTGACAAAATCGTTTAAAACTCCAATTATCTTCCAGCTCTTTGACCCAAAACACTCCGTTGCTAAACGTTTTGTTGGAAAAATTCATTTTGAAAATTTCTACTTGGACTGACAGTGCTCCAATGGCAATTCTTCTTCCTTGACTCTCCAGAGCTCTTAAACTACGTGCTGTCAAATTTTACAAGACTAATTTGGTAGCGGCAAATTCTTTTCCAAAAAAATCCTGTCCTTCGTCTGCATCCACTTGTTTAGAGCCGCAAAATCTCCTATTTTCCTATTTCCAAAAAAAAAAAAAA